TTATTATATACAACAATTTCATCTGGTTTTCCCCAGTTTACTATGACTCTCCACATTCCCTTCAACTTGGGTGGAGATTTTATTATTTGTAATCCTAAAACAAACAGAAGGAACCAATATAGGGAAATCTCTCTTTTGGGACCTAAGAAGGCAGCTCCATTCTTTACACATTCTCTGTCCTTTCTGAAAGAATGTTTGTCATTTAAAAGCCACCACCAAAAACATGTGGAACGAATGCAATAGTTTGCCATAGGGAAAAAACACTTCTATCCTCTATCTGTCGATCCTCTCTCTCTCTCTCTCTTCAAGCATAGGAAATGAGAGAGGTTTTCAATTACTGTAAAACTACAGCAAGGAACAGCTTTTTCTTTTCTTCTAAACTACACTACAATTGGGCTGTTCTTTCTGCTCCTGAGATCAGATAACATTGTTCCTAAGAATCTATCTCAGATTCTGGTTGTTTGTTTCTTTGAAACAGTTGAATGGATGCAACTGTTGAGCAGATGAAGTCCACAACATCTGAAGACCATCAGGTGGGAAAAAAGGAATTGTCTAGTAATTGATAAGCTTCTTTCCCTAGACAGACATTCCGTGACAAAGAGTTTTTAGATTCTTTTTTCTTCTTCTTTGTTTCAGGATCTTTATATTTGACTTATGCCAGCTCACAGTTTTTGGTTCCTGTGGTTTTTCAATATTCAGACAATACATTGTGATTGTAAGCTATCCAGAGAACTTGATTGATAGGAATTTATTTATTTATTTACCAAATTTATATCGGAACCCATCTCACCCAAGTTGGCATACAATAAAACCAAATGAGACGTTAGTTGGAATACGTTCATAAACGACCAAGCAAAAATACAGATGTACTGCTGTGTAAATAATATATGATCCACTATCACCTGTGAATACGAACATGATTTATAAATGTTGAACCTCTTCTAAATTTGGGGAAGTTCCTGAGAAGTCTGAACTTTCAACCTTGTAATCAACACTGTCTGCATCCAGGCTATTAAGAGGCCATGGTGGATCTCTGAAAGCCAAACAGGGTGAGACCTGGTAAGTACTCAAATGAGAAACCACCAGAAAGATTCCATGGTTGAAGGTTGGATGAGAAAGATGAATAGACAATGGTGGTCCATTACCATCTGGTTGCAAAGAAACCTACATGGGTGTGTCCCTGTAGTCAGTTGGAGTTGAGTTTGCCACAAGGGAGTTTTAATTTCTTTTTTCCTATACAGTTCAGGAAAATATCCTGTATCCTCAATTTTCACAGAGAAATCCTAGGACATGTCCTGGGAACATGGTTTTGTGAAGGACATGTAAATAATCCTCACTCCAGTGACAAAGCTCCAGTCCCCTTTCTCGGGAGAAAGCCAGCCTCCGGCCCAAGCTATTTTTGATATGCAGCCTTCTTCAGGCTGGTGCATTCAGATACACGGTAACTACAAGTCCCCATGTTCTCCTCAGAGACATTGGCTGGGCATGGTGAGAGTTACTATCCCAACACCTTTAGGAGGTTTTAGGAAGGATGCAAGGTAGAATTGAAGAATTTACTTGTTTGTAGATGTTTGTCCTCCAGAGGGCAGTGTAGAACTTCATCGTTTCTCCATCCTTTCTCAAACCACCTGCTTAACTTAAAAACCACAACTGAGGCCATGTGTGACAAACAGAAATGCTTGCCACAAGAGGAAAGTGACTCCTGATTTGCAGCTTCATCTAAATGTAAGAATCAAGGGAGGATGTTGGTTTTCTTCAGAGTTCCAACAAGTATGCGTTTTCCTTCTCAACCAAACCATTACTTGACTTTTCTTGGAATTTTCTCATTGCTCCTGAAATCAGGTAACATTTCGACTGAAAATCTCTCCTTCTCCTTCTCCTTCTCCTTCTCCTTCTCCTTCTCCTTCTCCTTCTCCTTCTTCCTTGAATTGGTTAACAATAACAATATCCCAGAAAAGAAATATGCAAAGACGGAGATATACATTTCAAACTCCGTATTAATTTCTGGGGATATTCTGGGTACTGATTTTGTTTTTGTTCTCTTTAGGAATATCTCAAAGTGATTCAGTGTCCCAGACCCAAAAGAACATGGAAATCCTTGAAGGGAAAGATGCCACTTTGCCCTGCCATTTCAACTCGACCGGTTCCAA